AAAAAAATTCACTAGCTAAAGAATTTTTTATATTTTTAGATAGCCAACTAAAATGAGTTTTGAATTAAGAATAATATTTTCAATTACATTATTATAAAAATAATTATTATTGAAAAATAATGTTTTAGAAACCGAAATTTTAAGAAAGAAATTTTTTTTTTAAGAGATATCAACACACCAGATAAGAGTTCAAGTATAGTAAAAGAGTTAACTGTTATCCAAAGAGTCATTTATTGTCTCAACATTTGATTGTTTTGCCATAAATATGAGTTATTATTTTGCTTTCTGACTATTTTTAGGATCCAATGACACCGGCAAGAATGGTATCAAAAAAGAAAAATAGAAGAAATGGTTAATTTTTTTTTCATGTAGTTGATATCCAATGATTATCTGTATTTATTGAGAAAGTGTAAATTTTAAGATTATTTTCATATAATTTAAATAACTTAAATATTTAACATGATTAGTATCCACGCATTCGCGCGGGTACTAATGCTAGTACATAAATAATAGCAATTTCCCGTTATAAATGAAAAAAGAAGTCGGGTGAGAGACAGAGGCAAGCGCTGAGGCATGAGGTGTGAGCAAATCAGCAAAAAGAATAGCGTTTGAAATCTTAATAAGTATACTATAAATAAAACTAATTAAGATTACAAAATGACGTTGAATTGGGATCTTTATACACTAATCGGTTGAATTATTTGTTTATTTTTTTTAATCAGTATATAGAAATTATATATTAATTATACATAATTATACATATATTATATATTTGCCAGTTAATTGTTAGTATAATTGATTGGGTAAAGTGTCTATTTATGTTTAATTTTCTGCCAAGAAAGCCTATGAAATTTGTCAGTGAAGGCAACAAGACATTTTAGGTAACATTTTATGCTTTAGGGTGTGTTTGGTAGGAAGAGAAATATTTTCCAAAAAATATTTTTTTAATTTTTTTATGTGTGGTTGACTTAAAATTTTGGCTTATAAACTCATTTTTCTCCAATTAGAGAAAAATATTTTCCTTACCAAAAGAAGGAAAAATATTTTTCAAAACTCCTTCTCAACCTTCCCCACCTTATTCCCCACCCTCACCAACCTACCCCACACTCCCACCTCACGCCTACCAGCCCCACCACCTCTCTCAAAAGGCTTTTTTCTTTTTTTTTTCAAATTTCAGTTTTTTTCCCATCACCCACCCTGCTCTCCCCCCACCCCCAAACTTTTTTTTTTTTTGTAATTTCAAATTTCTGTTTTTTCGTTTTTCTGCACCACCCTCACTGCTCCCCCTCCCCGCACAACAAAAAAATTACTTTTTTTTTGTAATTTTAATATTTCTGTTTATTCGTTTTTCTGCACACACATCCCCCCCCACCCCCCACCCCCACCCCAGGAAATTTTTTTTTTTTTTTATATTTTTTCAGTTTCAGTTTTTTCATCTATCGGTTTACATGTTCGAAATTTTACAAGTTCCAAAGTTATAAGTTTGGAAGTTTACGGATTCGAAAGTTCGCAGTTTCGAAAGTTTAGCGGTTCGGAAGTTTATGAAACTTGTGGGCTCGGAAGGTTGTTGGTTCGAAAGTTTGTGGCTTCATGTTTATTGTATCTAAATTATTTATGAATACTCTTGAGAAGTTATTTTCCTTAATTTGCGTATAATCAAACACCGGAAAATGAATAAGATTACTACTTGTTTTCAATAAAACATTTTCTTGAAAAACATTTACCGTTATACCAAACACACCCTTAAACTCTTGTCTTTTTAATTAAAATTCCATGATTCCTAAGAAAAATCGTCATTATACTATTAATCAAGCTAAGATAGTTATAATTAGGACAAGTTAAGTAGAAATGGTTATCTTATGAAACTTGTGTCATTTGAAAAACTTATGAGAACTGTGAGTGCTCCTTAATTATGGTCCATAGAATCAGCACAAAGAGGCTGATAATTGAACACTAAAGTCTGTCTAGCTAATTAATTGAGCAAGGAAGAAGCAAAAACTTTATTGTTCTTTTTTCTGACTCTTTTGTTGTGCGTAGTTGAAATTTCAAATAGAAGGCGGCCTTGTTCAGGTCAATGTTCGTATATTTTGGCTATTTATATATAGTAGAATATAATCAAAGTTACAAATTATTTGAAAGGTTAAAAGAGTAAAAGGTTCAGGGGCGGCTCAAAATATCTGGTGACCTAAAGTAAAATTTAAAAAAGATGCCTATAATATTTTTTAAAAATTAAGATCGCATATATTTCTAGGAATGCAATTATTTGAATCATTTATACATTCATGATTTTCGTGAGTACCTGTATTAGATTACTCACTATTTTTTCTTCTTGGACTTTATTATCTATATTGAAAATATATTACAATTATCTCTCTCATGCTCTCGGCGTAAGTTAGACAAACCTGCGCCGGTGTGAAAATGGCAGGAGTGAGAGGCAGAGGTGGTGGCCAAGGACGAGGACGAGGCCGACCACGGAAAATTCAGATCAACAATTTTGAGGTGGAAGAAAAAAATGATGAAGAATCAAAGGAGGATAATGAATCTGAGGCACAATTGACACATGCAAACAAAGGATTGGGAGCTAGAAGCCAAATCGAAGAAGTAGAAGGATCTCTATTGAGATCTGAGCTGACTATGAAGGAACGAGAGGTAGAAAAAGAGGTAATTAAAAAGAACGAGAGCAGATCGCAAAAGGAAATCAATGGAACAGTAACAGTGATAGAGGAAAGCAAGGAAGAAGACGAGGAGGAGAGCAGACCAGCATGGACAAGCTTATTGCGAGGAATAGAGCAGCTGAAAAATGGTATGAA